AAGAAGGATATTTCCATTGTGTGACTTAGGTCCAGATTAATTTGATAGTATAGATCCAACCTTATTTGATAGTAAGAACAAGCTATATGATATAACACAGTTGTACAGGAGACTTGCCTGTAAAAAACTGGCACCTTCAGACACGTTCTTACAGAAGTGAAGCCCTCACATATTTGTATTCTCACCTAGTTATATTCTTACAAAAGTAAGAAATCATTTAAAAAGTAAACATGAAATGTTGGAAGGATCTGAAATTATGAACTTGCCTGCTTTGAGATGGGGGTGTTGTTTTTTGGTGTGTTTTGTTGTTTGGGTGGGGGTTTTTTTTCTGTCAAAGTATTTGAATCTTCACCATCACTACAGTTCAAATATTTGGTGATACAAAGTGTTATGATTATGGTCTCTACTCCACATCCCTGTCCTGTTGCTCCATTTTACAGGGTGGAAAGTATGCCAAGGGGTAATAAAGTGAATTTTTGAGATCTGTAGTACATCTTGTAGAATTCTATGATTCTATGTCAGGATCCTGTTTCATCCCTCGTTATCCTTTTCTCGTTAAAGTCTAGAGCTACCTCAATATGTAGAAATACATAAATATGTCTAAAATTACCAAGTGTCAAACTTCCATCCTTCCTTCCTGCCAAGTGACAGCTTTGTGCTCACTCTCTTCTTCGCACATCCTGGGTGTCCCAAGATGGAACTGTGGAGGCTGGAGATGATGTGCAAGAGGCTTGGATTTTGTGTTCTCATCCCTTCCTGATTAGAAAATGATCCCACAAGGTGCCAAGGGTTTCTTTCAGGGAAGAACAGTTCTCCAGGTGCCTTTATTTCTTCCATCTCTCTCCTCTTCTGAGTTATTGTAGCAGGTGGAATCAGGTGCCTCAGTGATTTTGCTCTGATTAACCAGAGACTGAATCCAGTAGTGCAATATGAAAACATTAATGATGGACTGTGGGAACTGCCAAGAAGCACCCTGGAGTGGATGTGAGTTTTGAGTTACCAGATGTGTAGCAGAAGCCGGGTGTGGGTTTTCAGAAGTGGAAACGCTTTCAGGAAAATCAGTCAAGGGTTTAACTTAGAATTGTTGAGATAGATGAGGGCACAGACTGAAGTAATAAACACTGCTTGGCCTTTCTCTGCTTCCCAATCAGGAAAGATCTGGGAATAAAAAGATCAAATGTATGCTTGGACCAGACAGCAGTTCTCTACCAGAAAGGAGATGGTTGGTCAGGACAGACTTGCTCAAAAGAGACTCTGGAAAACTCCAGCTTGTTAGCATTGGGCCTGCTGTCCCCTTTCTGCTGCTGTATGCTGCTCTCCCTTATCCTTCAGGAACATTCATCATCTCCTCGCTGCTATGCTGCTGTCCCACCTGCCTCTCAGGGTAAGTTGTCCACTGTAGCTCCTCACCCCTCTCTCTCCCGTGAGAGCACCATAGGTGCTGGCTGCTGAGCAGAGCGGGCATCAGGAGAAAGGCTCATGCTGTGAGTTCAGCTGTCCACCCGGGAGGCACAGGCTCAATTTCTGAGCCAAGCAATACATACGGCGTCTCTGCTTCTGGCAGCTCTGAGAGGTTGTCCCGTGGGCTGCGTGCTGCTCAGTGTCTCCTGTCGATTAGGTCGGTTTGATGTCTTTCTCATTCACAGCCCGTGGTCTGACGCTTTTTCCGAAGTAACAGGCCCTTTGGAAATAAAGGTCTTTGGTCCTTATCAACCAGAGGAGTTTTGTCCAAATGCATCTGGCTGGTTAGTAATGGCCTTGTTTGTGGTCCAGGAAGCCTAATGCAAGGCTGGTATTAGCAGGAGTAGAATGGTTCCATTATGTAAATGGCATGCATTTGATTAATTAGTAGTTTTTTGAGGGCATTTCCAAGAACTATGGGTGGCACCTTCTCAAAATGTTCCCATTAACGTGCTGAGGTCAGTAGAAGTAGTGTGCTGTCAATAAAAGGTCCCATTTTGAAGGTTTTCCTTCCCACCCCCCCATCCCTTTTGGCATCATTTGTTTGCAAAGATCATGCTTCAGGATTTTACTTGATTACTCCCAACTGAATATTTTGTCTAGGATGTAGGTTTGTGCTTTGCTGGGAGTTTGTTAGGGGAAGCAGAGAGGTGGGAGGAAAAGGGGTGGAGAGGTTTTCTCGGATGTGATGTGATGTAGACTTTGTGGGGTACTTTCTGTCTCCTGCCAGGTCTTTGCTCTTTTCCACTTACTTTTGGGAACCTGGAGAGCTCAGGGTACTTCTTGGTTTTACAAAGTTGATTTTCCCCACCACCAGCAATGGACCTAATTGGGACAAATTGCAAACTGAGCAAATGTAAAGTGAATTCTGTCTCAAGGAAATGCTCTGCTGTGGTACAGCGTGGTCCAGGGGCAAGGCTGGTGGAGGGGGGGTGCAGGGCATGTGGGATGTGGGAAGGAAACGCTTCTGGTGATGTATCCCTCCTCCTCTGGTGGGCTCATGCCGTGGTATGACAGTGAAGTCAATACAAGTTTCTTCTCTGTTAAATAGCTTTCTCTGAGCTCACTAGCTTATGGGTTGGGTCTTCGTCTTTATTTTCCTACCCCGCTATTTATAGCGTGGTGTGCTAGGGCCAGAATTGTTACCTCCTTTTTTACTGGCTTAATAAAATCAAGTGACTTAGTTTTGCTGTTTGGTAATGTCTGCATTTGTAAGCATAGGAGCATGGGGAAAACGAATTAACAGGAAACAAAATTGCAGTGTTATTTTATCCTACCAGGAATACAAGACCTGCAAAGAATAAATATCCTGTTACTTGCTGGTGCTAGAGTGTGCTCATTATCCCTTAAGTAAAGGTTAATCCGTTTCAAGCCTGAGTTAATGCTATGCCATCCTAACATTCCAAAATGATCAGAAGGTGGGCTTTCACTCCTGTCAGGTCATCTATTGAAATAACTTAGTCACAGATGCCAGCGTGTGGTCAGCAGTTGCTCTGTTTGATTTGGGTGTGTCAACATGTTGTAGGTTTTGCGCTCAGATACCTGGTTTATATTTATCTTTTCCCACCTGTCAAGGGAGAAAGAGAGTGTAATATTGTATAACAGACTCAATATAGAGAGCAGAGCCAAGTTCTCCAACTTTTCAAGAAGTATCTGGTATGGGGTACATGTTTGTGTGGAGAGTAAACCCCTTAATTTTTAGTGAGATTATTAACAGTTGGCAGCTCTCATCCATCTTTGGTAGAAAATTGAAAAGGATAAAAGATTGATTAAAAAATAGAAGTATTGACATCATCATAAAGCAGCTGTAGTGCTATTAAAACCTCATTGTATATGTATAGACATACATCTTTATCCTCAGAACTCTGGCGTCTTGCGCACTCCAAAATACACAGCTAAAATAATATCTACATAATGCTATAAAACGCCTTTATTTGTGACACAGCAGCTGTGTTTCTGGCAACAAGTATCTTATTGTCACATCAAATCCAATTAAAAATCCACAAGTTGAAATGCCATCTTCACAGAGGGTAGCAGGCAAATCCAAACAGAAAACCCGGAGCAGAATTAAGCAATCTTCCTGTCTGATGTGGACGTGCAAGTTTTCTTCTGTGTGAAACTTAAGTGGTTCACCTTAAAAGGTATTAAGATCTGCTTGAAGATCATAAACCTAATTTGGGATTTGTCTTCCTCAAAATCCCCTGGTGAAATAGAAGGGTTACGTAAATAATCAAAAGGAAATGTACATTCTCCTGTGTGATTTTTCCAAAACCAACCTGAAAACACCCTGAACAAATGAGCATGGGGCTGAGGTGCTGCTATTTGTGGCTCTCCCCCATTAGGCTCTCTTAAAGTGCCTCAACCCACTTCCAGGTGGGGCACGAGTCCTGGGATAGACTGTACTTTTTTTTTTTCTTTTTAAATCTCCCCTGGCTTCCCCAGTCCAGCTGCAAGAGACTCAGGAGTGCCCTCAGATGTCTTTTCCCAGTGTTAAAAACATCACTTTAGCACATCCAAATTCTTTGGTTTCAAGATGAAAGAGATGGAAGAGAGCAGCCTTTCTTCTTTCCTCTTTCTTCTCAGTTTTTAAGTGCTTAGTGACCATGTGCCCTGACCTATAAGTACTTTATCTGCATGTGTAACATATTTACAGCTGCAGAAGATTCGCCCCCTGAATCTGAGAATCCAAACACAGGGAGCTCTGTAACCAACAGTCGCTCCAGAAAACTCTCATTTGGTTGGTGGCATGGCATAGAGGCGGTCAGAAAGGAAACAGACAGAAAGGCTGGTTGCCTAATGGCCTTGTGGGGAAGGGTTTTCTATTCTTGGTGGCTGGTTGTTGTTTTAAAAAAAACCCAACTAAAAAAAAAACAGCAACAGAAGTTTTCCATGTAAAATACAGCAGTTCCATTATTTCATTTTCATGCCATGATTTCTAGAAATCCCCCTAGTTGTCCACATGCAATTTTGTTGAGCTACTTTAAAATTCAAAGATATTTGGCTGTCTTCTATGCTTGAAATAGCTTCTTCTCTCGATGGTATTAGGATTTTACTTTTTCATTTTATCCTGTCCTTTTGGCAGCACCTAGCATTTCTGGAGTCTGAAATTGTCATAGAGTTGTGACATGTCCAGCTGTGGGAGCTGCCTCGTCCTCCTCTTGCTCCCCCCTTTTCCTTTCCACGCTCCGCCGCCGATTCCCTCCACCAGGCTGGGCTCAAGTCTGCCAGAGGTAGTTTCCTGCGCTGCTGGGTGAGCTGCCCATAGCCTGCATAATTCTTTGCTATGATTCACCCTGTGTTTTGCCAACATGTTGTTAATTTTTTTAGGGAGTGGGTAGTAAGTCCTCCTGCTATCTTGGAATAATTTTATAATACAGTTTTTTAATGGAGTTGTTTATATGTAAAGAACAGTGCCTTTCCTGTGAATTCTATAGTGTCTAAGAATTTGAAGATGGAGAATGAGAAAGAGGAATATATGTATATTTCAGATATCTTTTGAAGTGAATGATGATTTTACATGCTCTGTTTCAGTACATGTTACCATGGCGATGACTGCAGGGACTACAACATCCTTTCCCATGAGTAACCACACCCGGGAGAGAGTGACGGTGGCCAAACTTACGCTGGAGAACTTCTACAGCAACCTAATTATACAGCACGAAGAGAGAGAAACCAGGTACTGGCTCTACTTTCTCTCACCCCTCTTCAGCTTTTCTCAGTTGACTTTTAGTGGTGTTTGTTCAAGGGCACTTTGATCTCCATGCACGGAGCAGTTCTCAGAAGTTTTGCTGTACTTGGTAGCACAGAGCTAATCCCCGAAGGGCACAGGCTACCTTTCAGCTGCTGGCTGTGCTGGTAGACCTGTGAGCATCCCCTGCTACTGCACCAAGCAGCCACTGAGTGACGAAGGACCTCCACTTTTCGTGTTCTCATACAATTTACCTCCTGCTACACTGCAGAAACCGCTTTGTGCGGGGCCTTATTTTGCAGCATGTGTGAAGTTTCTACTTCTGCATGTAGGTTTGGTGACCTCCAGTTCTTCTGCGTGTGCCACAGGTAGTAAACTCTACCTATAGCGTAGAGTACGTGTACCTGTGTCTCTCACAGGTAGATGCTGCTGATGGGTGGTAACTTGGTTTTATATAAGGCAGTGGTTTGTGGTGTCTATTCATGCTCTGCAGCATGGAGCTCATGTCAAGACTCGTAAACCCTGCAGAAGGGACTGTATAGGAGGTAGGGAACAGGACTGATAGGAGAGGTGTTTGACTGGGTGATGAGGTAAGGGAAGGAGACAGAGAGCTGGGGGTGGCCTGGGTGGAGATAAGGGGAAGTAAAGAGCATAGTGTTGGTGATGGTTTAAATCCCCTTTAACTTCTCTCATCAGTGCCCAATTCTGCCTCTGATGTGGTGAAGTGCTACTTGAATTGTCAAAGCACCAAGTATTTGATTATAAAGAATGTTGTGTTTCAAATTGTCATCAGCATGTGAAATTATCATTCCCCTGGTAATATGTTTTTAATCGAGGGGTTTTCAGCTGAGCAGCAGGGTTTCTCTCTTCCTCATATTTAGTCATTGTCCCATGTAATTCAGTTGCTTCTAGTTAGAACAGACTGTCTACTGAGGGCCTTGTAATTTAGAGGATCCTGCTGTACTTCCCAAAATGCAGAAACACACCAGCAGCCTGGCACCCAGACTTCAAACTCTTGGCTGCTACTAGTGGGTAACCAGCTTTCTGCAAGTGGCACCCTGACAGTCATAAAGGAATATCCCTCAGGTGGAAAAAGAGGGGTCCAGTAGCCATGTGCTGACCTCCTGGGGTATGCCCAGGCTTCACTCTCTGCTCAGACCCTCCCAGCCTGGCATGGCATCAGCTGGAGCAGCTCTGGGACTGGTGAGCCCTGGCCCAGGCAGGACACTGGGAGGAGATGATGATGAATCCAGGGGGATAGAGTTAGTTGGTGTGAGGGTGGGGGAGTAGGATCAGGTGTGTGACCAGGGAGAGGTCAGCAAGGCTGAGATTGGGGGGTGAAGCTGGAGCTGGCTGAGGTGTTGGAGGTAGAAATGGTGAAAAAGCCCATTTTTATTATTTATAATCCTAATTGATAAAACCAGCATTACTTCAACAAGATTATATGAAGAAATATAAGTAATTAGTGTGATTATATGTTTTGACCTTTAAGACCTAATTCTGCAAGCACATAAGTTATGTGCTTAAATTTGCTTATACTTTTTCAACAGCTTTGGTCACAAATGAGCGAATGGATGGAGTGGGCAGTAAGTCTTCACATTTCCATTTCAGTCAAATTCTTTGGTATCTGGAATATGTGAAGTAAAGGTGTTGTTTTGCTGTAGTGTTACATTTGTTTTTAATAAAGAAAAAAAACCCAAACAATCTCCTGTTTCTCCCCTTTGCAGGCAGAAGAAGCTAGAAGTGGCTATGGAAGAGGAAGGCCTCGCAGATGAAGAGGTAATACTACTTCTGTAGAGTCTGCTTTCCTTTTGTTGCACTACTCCAAAATGGCATTTGAGGAGCTTACAGAAACATTAGCTAGCATGACATTCAGTTTTACTTTGTAAATGAATGTTGCCCCTGTAAATAACTTATTAGGGAAGCTGTGAATATGCTTGAATGATACTTGAAATAGCTAAGGCTTTTTGTACCACCCTCAGTCCTTATGAGACATATGGCTGTGGCAAGTATATAACATGCTTTTCAAAGATTAAAATTGTTTGCTGTTATATTTGGCAAGAAAAAAAAAGGAGAGCGGGTAGACAGCAAAACACTGAACCCTTTTTTCTTGGTTTAAACAATAAACTGGGCACACCCTTGCTCCGTTTGGATACGGCTGAGGAGGGATCTCTAGTTGACATTTCTCACAACCTTGGTCACTAAGTTGCTTTTCCTGAGGTCTGTCACACCATGGCTGTCTGTACTGCCTTCAGGATAGGCAAGGAAATGAGTAGGGACTGCGCACCAGTCCTTTCCGAGTTTGTGTGGCTGCCGTAACTTCTGGGAAGAGGGAAAAGCGAGTGTGGGTGCGTAATGCCATCTTGTGGTTTTAAATGTCGCTGTTACCCTAGTAAAAAATCTGGCAGGTGCCTGATGGATGGGTCTTGTTAGCAGTCTCTGCGATCTTCCCAGCATCTTTGGGAGCATAGGTCGGCGTTTGTCTTCTCTCAGACTGAATCCCACTGACATTTTTATAGAATAAAATATGTGACAGGATTTGGACAGACTTCTCTTTCAAATACAAGCGTTTGCCTTCCCTAAACCAAACAGATTTTGCTATAGATAGTGTAAGTTGGATCTCTGCCTGTTAGACTCCTTGCTGCCTGTCATCACTCTTTTTAGTGGGGTGCAAGTTTCAGCTTTTATTGATCCTTCACACTGCCTAAGAACAAGACTCCTTGCCTCAGCTAGTGACGTTGGCCTTTGGACTGATGTGCTTTGTTTGAACCAGTATGATTTTTTTAAAAAACTATTTCTTATTACTGTTTCTTTTTATCTCAGTAACAGCAAAAATACCAACCCCACCTGCCCCCCCCCCCAAAAAAAAAAAAGTGAAACTGTCCCTGAGGCCTCAATATGAAAGACCATGCTCATGGATCATACTTTGAGAAATTCAGAAAGACTTCCTTTTACATTTTCTCTGCAGTCTTAATGGGAGAGAGAATACTTCATAGGGAGATTGTGTATCTTGACTTTATACTGTCAAATGACTTATTTCTATGTATGTGTCTCCTTAGAAAAAACTGCGCAGGTCACAACATGCTCGCAAAGAAACAGAGTTTCTGCGACTGAAGAGGACTAGGCTTGGCTTGGATGATTTTGAATCTTTGAAAGTTATAGGAAGAGGAGCATTTGGGGAGGTTTGTGGCTTTCTTGTTTTAATAGGATATTAAAATTGCATTGAACATTAAAATAAAACATTTTAATTACAGAATAAGAAGTTCCAGTTGGGGAGTTTTACTGCAGAAGAATAGCTATTGGAATAATTGTGCAAGTGTGCTAAGTCCATTTATGAATTATGTGCATAGATTTCTCAAGTCCCTTGAAAGGCCCTTAGTTTCCCACAGCTTCTTAGCCCAAACTGATGTTACCCCTGTGGCCCCCTGAAATGATGGATTTGCAGCTGCACAGCTCCCTCCATAAACCATCCTTCCTGCCTTGTGTCACGTCATGGTTGTATCTGCTCCTGAATTTTAGTGTACACAGTCTCACAGCTACCCACTAACTTGGTCTAAAACAATAATTACTTCAAATTGTCTGTTCATCACTGGTATTAATGTTGTACATGGTGTAGAAATATTTTTTTCCATGTTTTTTTAAATGTTTAACAAAAGAACTTTTCTGTGCCCGGCAATTTGGAGCCTTCCAGTGGATTCCATGCTGGGGTCTAGTAGAGAAGATTGATGGGGTTATTCTTCTCGTTACAGGTACGCCTCGTTCAGAAGAAGGATACAGGCCATATTTATGCAATGAAGATACTAAGAAAAGCAGATATGCTGGAGAAAGAGCAGGTTTGTGTTGTATAAATCCCCTAGATTTCAAACTTAACGCTGTCTAGAAAATTGCTGAAGTTCTTTGTGGCAGATACTGTTTAGTCATACTTTCACCGTCTATAGCCCTGATAATGGTATAGCAGTCCAAAGCATTTATGGAGTTGCTACCACAGTACAAAAGAGTAAGAAGTTAGGAAATTAGGTCATGTAACAGCATTTAAAAAAATGTATTGACAACCAATCTGGATTAGTGACAAAGATTTTAATTTTTTTCTCCCTTCCTATATCAGTGCAGACCTTACAGTACTTAATCTGTAAAACTGCATTTCAAGGAAGATGCTTCTGGAAAAGTAGTATTGTGCCAAAGTAAAAACTGATAGTACTTGATGTTTTCTTTTGATGGTTACATACCAACAGATGTTACACTGTTCATTGGCTTTGTTTTCCTTTGTTTTGCTTTTTTAGACAGGTCTTGCTAGTTTGATTTGGTTTTTGGTTTTACTTTTTAGTTAACAATTCACTGCAAATTCCTGGTAAGACACAGCAAGTACTTTAGCACCACAAAGCAAAGAAATTAAGTGTGGATGTCTCAAGTGAAAGGGCAGAAAAGAAGACTTTCCTTACCTGTCCAAACCTTACCCATCATTTGTTCTTGTATTACATTTCCCTGCAGTGGTACTTGTACTTTTTTTTTTTTTTCTTTCCCCTGGCACAGACTTTTTGCCTCCTCAAGCCCATGCCCTGAATATAGAGAACCAGAAGAGCAAAATGCCCTGCTCAGCAGCCAGGATGTGTGTGGCCCTCTGGCTGAAGCCCTGCCCCTGTTTCATAACCTGATGTGGCAAGGAGGCTGAGCTCACACTCCCCATTTAGTTTGGGACTGTAATCTTCCCTGAGAGTATTTATCTGCTGTAATTTTTATTGCCTAGTTTGTTCAATGGAAAGCAACACAAGACATCAATGCAATAAAATTAAGATTTTCTTCAAGCCTAGTAGCACTGGGAGATATCCTGGCTGTTTTTTAAGCGAGGTTTTAGTGTTATATTTTAGAGCTACATTTGAGGAGTGTAGAGTGGAAAGAAATATTTTCTAACAAGAATAGATAGAGCTAGATAAATCAAAGTTGGAGTGCCTAGTACTGTGAGAGAACTCATTGCCCTGTGACACTCTGTGAGAAGAATACATACACATAAAGATGCTCTTGGCCAGTAGAATTGGGGAAGAGATGCAGAAGACTGCTGCTTATTGGAAATAGCCCTTGAAGCTGGAAGAGTGGTACATATTTTTCTCTCCAGATGTTGCTTTCTGGTGTGTGAATAATGAGTCTTACAGCTGTTAAGAAATATTTTTCCATGCATGTCTTTCATTTTCCTTCAGGATGAGGGTTCATTCATTCACACCCCTCTTCCAATCTCCAGTACTTGTGGTTTCCAGTGAATTAATGGGGTAGCTGCTCTCCATCTATTTTTTCAAAGCCTCAGCTGGGAGTGGAATATCCTGGGCAAGGTCAGATGTTCCTAAACTCACTTGCCCAGGACCAACGTCAGCAGTGGTGGCCATAGCAGTTCTGGGCAAGCCTCATGCACGTCACTTGGATGAATTACTCCATCTTCTCTTCCTTTTCCCCTGCCTTAAATAGCCCAAGACCCTTACCATTTTTGCACTGTTTTAATACTGGACACTGATCAAATTGCTACCTGCCATCATCTGTAAGAGCTGAAACCCATCCCAGCTGTTTCCCACTTGGACAAGGCACTTGCCATGCAGTTCAAGTAAGGTTCACCATGTACACGCATAGGAGCAGTCTCCATGTACCATCTGGAAGGGGTTCGCTCACCGTCAGCAGTGTGTACAATGTGAGTTTGGGAACTAGACAGTGGTTCACTGTCATGTAAGTCAGACATTTCTCTCTTTTCACAGTGATGCAAGAATTGGGTTTTGCAGGAAGTAATTAGTTTAGGCACTCTGTCACTCCTGCTAGAGAAGATTCCCCAGGCTTGTCTTGACAAGTTTAAACTGTGAGATACCTGTGTAAAAGTAGCTATTAGTTTTTGGTTTCTTTGTGTATGTGTATGAGAAATCTAACTTCTGACAGTAATCATAATGCATCTACCATTTATTTCTTGGTTCTTACATTCTTTAAGAGCAGACAGGTCTGTCCTTTTCCAATAATTTTGACAGTATTTGCACCTTGAGTTGCACATTAACTTTTTGTCTGAGCTTGCAGTACCATATAAAGCTCTGTGATGGTCAGCTCTAATTTTTTTTTTAATGTTCCTATTTCATTTTAGGGTATAGTAAAAAAGGGAATTGCACTCTTCCACCAGCGTTTCCAGTTCTTTCCAACAAACAGAAACAGCCTAACAAGCTGTGCTTTGTGTTTCTAGAGACTGCTTCTGTAAAGTTGTGAGCAGCTATTTTCAACTCAAGGCATTCCTTGTTGAAATATTTAAATTGTCTTTTAATAATAGTTTGGTTTGTTGTTTTTTTTTAATTTAGGTGGCCCATATCCGAGCAGAAAGAGATATTTTGGTTGAAGCAGATGGAGCCTGGGTAGTGAAAATGTTTTACAGCTTTCAGGATAAAAGAAATCTTTACCTGATCATGGAGTTCTTACCTGGAGGTAAGCTGTATGTTGTGATGTTAGGTTGATATGAGTACTTCTTCTGTAGCTTTTGTTGTCAGCTTCATAAAATGTTAGAAACAAGCATGCTGTGTAATTTGTTATAATAAAAAATTTTAATGCTGTTTTAAATGAAATCCCAGTATTGTAATCCCTCCTGATTTTTAGGGGAAGGAGAAAGGTTGTGGAGGGGTGTTAAAATTAAATAATGGATTAAATAATTATTCTTATCCAATGTTCTGCTTTTTATTGCCAAAGCTAGTAAACACATGCAATACACAAAACTAGTAAATACATGCAATAATACATGTATTGTGCATTAAAATTCACTGTATGTTCCTGGGCTATTCAATTAAAATTCCTATTTATGATTTTCAACAGTTTTACATCCAGTTTACTAAAAAAGTATGTTGGGTTTGTAGGTCCTTGCAGCAATAGTTTTATAATTAGTAGCTATAAGGCCATTTACAAGGTTAAATTTGGATTCTACAGGGGTTTCACATAGAATTAGTCTTGTCATTAAAACGTTCTGATTTCTAAGCTGTGTTTTCTGCTCTTTGATTAGGTGACATGATGACCTTACTAATGAAGAAAGACACCTTATCAGAAGAGGAGACACAGTTTTACATTTCTGAAACTGTGCTGGCCATAGATGCTATTCACCAGCTCGGATTCATCCACAGAGACATTAAACCAGATAACCTTCTGCTGGATGCTAAGGCATGTAACGTGCATGTAAACTGCCTATGCTTTAAACCTATCAGTCTGAAAATAATGTCATTTATAGTGGTGCTCATCGGTGGGAACCGGTAGCACCACACCAGTAATTTTAAACTAGCTGGAGTAAAGGCAGAAAGAGGTCATTATCTTTTCCTTGGAGAACACTGGTACACTTAAAGCAAAACTGCCCATGTTTTTGTGTTGGAAAGGCTCTAACCCTTTTTTTTTTAAGGGAGAAGAGACCCATTCAGGGTGTCCAGATGCTTATATTCATACACATTAAAAACTGATACACTTAGTTACTTCAAGACAAATGAGGGCCTGAAACATTCAGACAATGCTAAATAATCAGTTCAGTTCCTGCAGTTGTCTCATTGTTTTATTACTCGCTCACCAGTGGAAGCGCTCTGTTAGATTGACTATAGTGAGCTGTGGAATGGATTCAGTAAGCATTGTACACAAATCTGTAGACTATCTAGCACTGATGTCTGGAAACCTGATTAAAAACAGGCTGCCATCAAAACAAAACAAAGGAATTTTGTCCTGGAGGCTTTCGCTGTCTCAGAGGTATCCAGTTCAAAACAAAAACGAGGCAAACTATCTGCCCTCAGCTGTTGCAGAGTTGTAGATGTAACCATTCCCAGGGGGCAATAACCCCTTTGGGAGAAAACACATTCTCACAGTACATCAAGATTCAGTTGTTGTTTGCCTGCTTGTCCTGGATTAGGTAGTCCTGTGCAAGTCCGTCATGGCCTGAGAAGGCAAGTGCAGTTATTAAAACTCTTTTTTTGAGCACTGTCTTTCTAAATTATATTTTTATTTTCTCTGATTTTTTTTAGGGTCATGTAAAACTGTCTGATTTTGGGCTATGCACAGGTTTAAAGAAAGCTCACAGAACTGAGTTCTACAGGAACCTTACACACAACCCACCAAGTGACTTCTGTAAGTATAAGCTGTCCTAGTTAAACATTTAAATAGTTTTGAGCTGCAGCTATGCCACATAATAATTTATTTCTGCTGGGTTAAGCAAGATTGATCAGGCTGATTGCATTTAGTTGCAAAACTGGAAATGCTTGTTCTCTGGGACACGGAAGCTTTCACAGGAAAGAAATTCTTATTCTGCAGTGTTAATGTGTTTTTGCGTATTCATACACAGATACAAATACACATAATGTCATGTATCTATATTTTTAATGTGTTTTTCATAACAGTGTCAGTGAAGTTACAGAAACAGTCTTTCAGAAGAGACACGAGTTTCATGTGCTGCCTTAGTGAAGTCAGTGACAAAATCATGAAGCTTTTCATAAGAGTAAAGTTGGTCATCAACCTGCCTTGGTGACATCCACATTAGTGTTTAATTCTACAAATGTAAAATTCCTCTGCAGTTCTTTTTGGATTCTTCACTTTTTGCTTAAAAAAGCCTCTGTATCTGAATGTATGTTGTCAGCTGGAACAATAAATGCTGCTGATCTCAGATCAATCCATAAAACTTTTAGAAAGTTCTGATTTAGAATTGCTGATAATATGTTCTACTTACATGAGTTTCAGCTGCAAATTATTATTCATTATAATTTTCCCATCTCCAGTTACAATCAAATATTTATTTCTAGACTAAACCATTCTAAAGATATAAACTAGTTATTCCTTGAAAACAATGTTATAAATATTTTCTTTTAATTATCACAAATGCACTTATTATCTAATAACTATTTTGTAAATTAGCATTTCAGAATATGAACTCAAAGAGAAAAGCAGAAACATGGAAGAAGAACAGGCGACAGCTGGTAAGCTAATAAAATTATGTATAGTTTTTTTTCTTTTAAACTATTTACAGAAAATGTTAAATAAAAACTGGGCATTAATGTTGCTGGTTTTTAAAAACTGAAAGGCCCTCATGCCTTAACAGATGTTGCTCTCTTCAAGCTCCCAAAATTCCAATTAACTCAGAAGAAGGTGGTCTAGTGATTCCAGTTGTGGAATAGCTCAGAGATCAGGGGAAGAGTGGAAGAATGGCCATCAGCTGGGTCGCTCTGTCTGTTCTCAGAGCTGTGACTAGCTGCTCTTCTCTGTGCCTTTGTTTCCCTTACAGGCATCTGGACTAACTGACCTCAGGTGTCAGCAACCGCTTAGCAAAGCTGTATCTTGAGTTTGTCTCCTAAACTGACCTGACACTGATACTGTGTGTGAACTCTTGGGTTTAACTCTTTCAGTTCAGTGTCGCAAGAAGATGCGTAGCTCCATGATTCTTTCAGAGGATTGAGGGGAAAACTTGTTTGTCCTTCTGCTGAATGGGAATATGATGGAAAGGAAGTGGAGGATATTGGCACCGCAGTAGTGCAGCCTGGGTTTGTAGTGAAGGCTGGTCAAGTAGCAAAGGGCCCTCTGGCATTAACTGAATCAAAGGAAAGTATCTGTCACCCATAGGATTTCAGAATTTCAGTCCTGCTTGTGATTTTCCCCAAATAGCAATTGCAAAAACCTCAGTTTACGAATTTTGGAACATTTTAATTTGCACTCACTGTTTAAAAAGTGATATGCTCCAGTATTCCCAAAGAGCTTTTGGGCTGTTTTTTCTTTCCTCGTGAGGCATAATGAGATTACACTGCAATCATTCTGCCTCACAGGGGCTGTATTTCACACCCTTACTCCCTCTGGGTTTGGATCTCTGAAAACACTACATCTCCTGAGTCAGTAAAGACTGATGGGGCAGGACAGTGTAGTGAAGCTCGATGAATCATGAGACAATCCAGCAGAGAAAATAAAAGGCCAAAATGACAACTCGTACCAACATTATTTGAAAAGGAGCCATATTCTTGGTTTTCAGTTGGTTCAAAAGTAAATGTCTTGGCTCTGTTCAAGGAAATGAAGTATTTTGTTCCTGGACAGACAAATAGAAGTAAAATATTTTTCTGGCAAAACTGGTTTTGGCAGGATTTTCTTGATTTTGGTTTGTTTTTTTCTTCCCCTTCCACCCCTACTCCCATGGGAAATTCTCCATCAGTAAAGAGAAATTCCCAAATAGCTCAAGATCTCTAGCCTGCATGTTTAAAAGGTTAAAAAGATGGAGCCTGGGACTAGTAAGAGCTCAAATTTAATTTTGCAATAAAGGCAAGATAATACATGGAACAGCTAGTGTATCACAGGTGTCACACATGGGAATCTACCACTGGTTATCCTTTTAAAAACAAACAAAGAAAAAAAACAACCTACAACAACAGAACTTCTTGAGTATTTTAGTAATGCAGCTGCTTGAAACTTTAGCTAAGATGACCCTCTGATATTGCAGTGGGAATATTCTATAATTTCATCACATTTCAGAGGATGATTTCCATTTACTTCCAAGGTTCTCTGTGCTTACTCATGTAAAAGAATAATGTTCTTGGGATTTTAGATATTGTGAATTCTTAAATTAAGCATTCTTGTCCACCCAAATAACAAGACCCTATACGTGAATCCCCAGGAAAAGGTTTTGCAAAGTGTAAAAAAAAGTATTATTGATCTTATTGATTGTTTCTAAAGAGTTTATTCTTTTTTCCTTTTTCTTTTTTTTTTTTTTTTCTCCCAGGCATATTCTACTGTTGGAACCCCCGATTATATTGCACCAGAAGTATTTATGCAGACTGGGTACAACAAGCTGTGTGACTGGTGGTCATTGGGAGTGATTATGTATGAAATGCTAATAGGTATATTAAAGACCCAACCTAAGAATCATTCAAAGGGTTCAAAGGCAGCAGGGCCCATTAGTTCAGAGTCTGATCCCCTGCACAGTGCAGGTACAAGAATTTCATTCAGTTATTCCTGAAGTAAGCCCAAAATTCAGCTTCCAGAAAACTTTAAAGTCCTCCCACATTTCCAAGAAGACAGCAAGAGATGATGCCTTAGTTGTTTCAGTGAGTAACTGTTCACTGTTAAGTGCTTTTGAGGGTCAGTCTCATTACCTGAAAGTGACACAATAACATTTAATGCTGCGCTACAAAAGAGAAAATTTTTGCCTCGTACTGCTTGTTAGATTTGGGAGCTGTGGTGGCACAAGCAGAGGCTCAGGTCACTTTCCTTGTCTGGGAAAAGCCTGTGAATTTTTCTATTTGTCTGTGCAGGGTATCCACCTTTCTGCTCAGAAACACCACAAGAAACTTATAGGAAAGTTATGAACTGGAAAGAAACGTTGGTATTTCCTCCAGAGGTGCCTATTTCAGAGAAAGCGAAGGACTTAATTCTAAGGTCAGTAACAAAATCTCACTTCTGGCCACTTACCCAGACTGATCATCTTCCATTAGGTTAACTTTCCATTCTGCATGATGGAAGCTTTAGATTGGAGGGAAACAGAGCAGATTGAAGAAAAAGGAGGGAAAAAAAAAAATAAGGTGAAAAAGAAGGAAAAAAGTGATTAACACAGTTTTTCTCTTCTCAGAGGGAACTAGAAAATAAATGCTTACCAGCATTCAATGCATTGAACAGAAATCTTTGGATGCTTTGAATTTACTCACTTCTTCCAAAATGCCATTTTTTAATCCATTCAGTTTGCATTGAAGTTTTTGTGAGAGGTTTTGGTGTCAAGGTCAGGCAGAAATGCTCTCTTGTAATGGGAAGTTTTGGGAGAGATGGTTTTTGGCTTTGATTTTCCCCCCCAAAGGTAATATTACAAGCTTATGTGACTTTGTTTCAGGCAAAAAGGGGAATGTACTGAACACGCAGAGCCAAAAACTAGAATTTATTAGTCCAAGCAGTGTTCTAGTAGCATACAATAAACAGCAAACAGTTAATCCAGTGATACTAACACAGTACAAATAATTTAATTATTGCTAATATTCACTAGTAAGTTTGAGTATAACAGTTTTATTACATTTCCTGTATCTATTTCTTTATCATTTTGCTTAACCTCTACTATGTGTTGTCAGCATCCTGAGCTCTTTGCTGGGAAGGGTACGGTGTTACTGCTAAGGATTTCTTCCTCTTCAGTCTTGGCTGCATTTGGGGCATTTTCAGATATTTCAGGCAGTTTATTTGTTAACATGTCTTGCTGACTGGCTTATTAATTCAGTTATACATACCTACTTGAATTTATTAGGTTTCTCATATATAGAAGGATTTAAATTAGGGTAAAACATCTTTAGTGATAAGCAATTTACTAAAACAAGATGAAAACAGCCAGTTAGGCAACAGACACCTGGCCGTTGGGTACTTTGTCCATTACAGCTTGGACAAGTTAAGCAATGGTTATTTCAGCCTAAAGGAAGTTGCAGACAAAGCTAAAGTTTCTTTATTTTTATGGATACAGATAAAACCAAACTAAAATAATCTCAAGTTCAGACATAGCCTGACAAATCCCAAGACCTGGTCTCTATAACTGTTATTACAAGGTCTGAGGTCTGTTATTAGTACTTGGCAACAGCCAGCTGGCTGGGCTGCAGTAGCAGTATAGGCAGGTTTTTCTCCCAAGTGACACTCAACTGCAAGTAAAAGAACGTTATAGTCTATAATTGGAGGCAGTTTATAGCCTAACTGGCTACGTTACTAAGTTATGTGCTGAAAATTTCACTAACCAGCGAGAAGGTGACCTGTTTTGTATTGCCATGTGAAAAGTGCCTTGTGAATATGGATGATGTGGTTGTGTGGGGAGATTGAGTGCAGGATAACTAAATCAACAGCCGAAGAGCTTTGCTCGTCTAGGCAAACGGTATTTCATTTAAGGAAGGCCAGCTGACTTTGAGAGCAACAGGAGGCCCACATCCCCATGCTACCGAGTGCTCCCCACTTCCAGGAGGCTGCCAGGTGACTACACTTGGCAAGACCAAGCTTTTTGTTTGCCATGGGCATTTTTTTCCTGTTATTGTATACCCCTGTTTGTGTTGTTGTTGACAGCTTTTGCCATCCTCAAAGAGACCGCAATGAGGTAAAAATATAAAGCAGTTACATCTTTGCTAATACAAAAGATAGCTTGGATTTAATGAAGGAGGCTAAGCATTGGTATGCTGACCATCTCCTTGATGAGATACTTCAGAGTGTTTTCCAGCCAGCTAGGCATCGGTCCAGGCAGGCGTCAGTCCAGAAGGGTCAGCTTCTGCTGCTTCCTGGAACAAATCCCTGATGTTGCTCAGTTGCTGTCAAAGAGCTTCCACCTCCCTTTTTTTAATTTTTTTTTTTTTTTTTCTTTAGGATTTTATACTTTTCCTTGTTGGTGTTTTTCCTCCTGCCTACTTGAGCAGAGAACAGTCTTCGTCTCAACAGTCCTATCTCTGTCTCCAATTTCACCTTTTTTTTCTTACTTGACTCTATGGACTTTCTCACAACTGCTTCTCATAAATCGACAATTTTACCTGGAGTCTGAGCTGAGGTTATGCAGTTGGGTCGTATCAGAAATAGGCCTTGGGTCTTTGTACCACCAGCACCTGGACCTCTAAGGAGAGGGAAGAGAGGGTGCCAGAGAGAATAGGGACATGGCATGTTCTGAATGTGTCTTTTGGCCAACTGTAGTTCCAAAATGTGACATCAAAGAGTAGTCCTATTTCACTAAGTGTTTTTGTTCCTTTTATTTTGGCTTCGAAACATGGGTTTTAAATAGTTGAGAACGTGCAGAGGAGTTTTCAGTGGTAGCAATTTAAGCCTTCTTTTCCAACTAAACTTACAGGACTAGAATTTGCAGTAACTTTTCACAAACCTTGAAGATGGGGATTCAGCAGTTTAGAAAAGGTGTATGTTACTGTCATCATGGCTTTTTGTTTTGAGACTCTAACAATATTCTGCTTCTACTATTTCCCTTCTCTCCTAGATGCAACAGGCTGCTTTTAAGTAACCTCAAGTGGTGGAATAATCTGAAAGAACTTGCTCAAATTCCTGATACAAGATTCCATGGCAGTTTTATTGTCTGTTGCTTTTGTCTGTATTTATTGTAACATTCCCTTTATTTTTTTTTTCCCACTTTTTCAGATTTTGTATTGACTCAGAAAATAGAATTGGTAGTAATGGAGTAGAGGAAATAAAAAGTCATCCATTTTTTGAAGGAGTGGACTGGGGACATATCAGGTATATATATATATATATATATACACACACACACATTTTTTAGAGGGAATAAAAGCCATGAAAGCAATAATTCGATGCACTATTATTATTTCCAATTTGTATTTTATTTTGAAAGGCGGTAGGTGGGTGACAGAGAAGATTTTCAGGCCTTGCTGACGTTCATAAATCTGATCAAAGTTTAACTGTGATGCTTCAGTCTTGAGATGCTTCAGAGTGCCCAGGATGGAAAGAAATTGTGGTACAGTGGCTGTGTTAATCCTGATGTATGCTCTGGTATTAGCAGAGAGCTCCTCTTCAGTACTAATGGGCTCTGCAGCTATTGCTATAATTGACTTTTTTTGTAATAGAAGCACAGGAAAAGCAAAATCTATTCCAAAAATGCAGGGGAAATAGATGAATGAAGAGGAGAGGCAGTAAGTAGGAGGGAAACACAGGCCATGTCTTTATTGCATGCTGCAGATACCACACCTGAGTGAGACGGTATGTCTACAGAGCTCTGGGCAGAGGCACTGACTCACCTCAGAGTCACAGCCTCTGTGGCCAAATTCCGCTGGGCCAAGCCTGCGTAGAAGGCCTGGCCAAGGCAGATGTACCAGTTTCAGCCTGGGCTTGTGCCTGCAGATGCTGAGCTACATCTGCACATACCCAAAGCGGTAACACCTCCAGAGCAGACTTTAGTGGGACCACAGATACTTCCAGTTGAAATGATGGCTACTGTTCAGCTCTCTTCAAGATTTGAGGTAGTCTAGGGAACTGCTTGAGAGAGTCCAGCACAGAGCCACCAAGATGATGAAGGGAGTGGAGTATCTCCCTGATGAGGAAAGGCTGAGGGAGCTGGGCCTCTTTAGCTTGGAAAAGAGGAGACTGAGGGGAGACCTCATTCATGTTTATAAATATGTTAAGGGTGAATGTCAGGAGGATGGAGCCAGGCTCTTCTCAGTGATGCCCAATGGTAGGACAAGGGGCAGTGAGTGTGAGCTGGAACACAGGAGGTTCTGCTTAAACTTGAGAAGAAACTTCTTTCCAGTGAGGGTGATGGAGCACTGGAACAGGCTGCCCAGGGAGGTTGTGGAGTCTCCTTCTCTGGAGACATTCAAAACCTGCCTGGATGCCTTCCTGTGTGATCTCATTTAGGTTCCTGCTCCAGCAGGGGGATTGGACTAGATGATCTTTCGAGGTCCCTTCCAATCCCTGACATTCTGTGATTCCAGTAATAATGCAGTTTTCTACAAGAAAATCCATACTGTGGGCATTTGAGTGTCCAGCTTGTGTACTTCTCATTTCCTCTGGTGCAGAAAGCCTCATTTAACTTATCTTTTCAGTGTGGGAGACATTAATAAGCAGTAAGAGCAGTGACATATGTGTTCACACCACATTTGACAACCTAGCGAAATGCTTTCCCCATTCCACATAGAAGTGGCTTTAATTGTAATAATTACATCCGTAGTAAGTTTACAGGTGTAAATTAATTACTTTCCCACAGTGCTGTGTTCCAGTTTGAATGCTTTCGTGGGACAGATCTCTTAAGCAACTTCGAAAGCCACCTTAAAACTTCGTAGAGGGCTGCTTAATTGTTGAGCTAATAAAGCAGTAACATGTCAGAGCCAACTTATTTTGGATGAGAAATACTGGCGACTGAGTGTCAGAAATAGGAGCTACAGTCGAAAGGTATTTGGATGAGGTCCAGGCTGATGAGCACTGGAATTGTAAAGCAACACATCTGATGGCTGCAAATGCAAGTAAAGTCATGCTCAGCTGAGTAGGCTGGGTTTATGAAACGAAGGTAACCACAGTGGTTCTTGGTGACAACAAAGATCATAGCGATAGCTGTATGGCAGATAAGTGCGGAATGCTGTTTCAGAAAATGGGAAAATTATGTTTTTCCCAAGTTTGCCAAGAAGATACTAATGGTAGATAGGAAACCAATAAATCTCCTGATAATGTCAGTAAGCAGGCGAGTTGGATACGTTTCTGGTAGACTCATTGGAACCTTTGTGCTTTAAATTAAAGGGATGTTGTAACTGTAAAAAGCAAAGTTAAACAAAACTGGAACTTAATGTATCTTGTCCTAGTGTTCACTATTCTGGCATTTATTTCTCTTTGCAGGGAAAGACCAGCTGCAATCCCTATAGAAATCAAAAGTATTGATGATACTTCCAACTTTGATGAATTTCCTGAATCTGATATTTTACAGCCAGGTGAGACTGCCATTGTAAATTCCAAATTTCTCTCTATGACATGCTAGAATACTCCACAGATGCTTTTGTTGTTGTTTATATTCATTTTTATAATATCCTAATCAAGGTAATACACAGACTTGATCTTAGAGATTTTCTTTCAAATCTGAATTTTAACATATTATCTCTCACAGCTTCTACTTCTTTAGAGATTCGGAGGGGGGGGAAAAGAAAAGCCCACAGATTTTAACAGTTAAATGTATTAGTAAAAATGGTTTGCATATGTAGTGAGCACAGGAAACAGTACAGTTTTCTACCATACAGTCTGTCTAACCAAATTTGGGTAAAAATTATGCAGATTTGCTTTTGATCTTTAATGACTTTTGAGTTTCATGCCAAGCATAAATGTTCACATATTTATCGGCAAAAATTTTCAGACAGATGATTGTTTAACATTGTGGTTTATGAACCTGAGTGTCTCTGCAAATCATTTAAGGTTTTTTTAATTGTTAATTTCTATTGGCAAGTAGTAGGAAACTTTTATACATAAAAGGCTTGATTCTCTGACATGCCAAATTCTCCCAGCTCCCACTCTTTTAAATTAATTATTGATGGCTTAAAGATAGGCATATATAGAGCAATGATTAATTGATGAAAGATAAGTGTAGATATGCTAAAAACCATAAGAATTATCAAAAAGCTGGGGTGGGGTTTTTTTCTGAAATGGATTTTATTTAATGGCAAGGAAGCTTGTCTTTTTAATGCAAAAGCAAGCAATCTCCAGTGCATAAGTTAAGCTGTTTAAGTCTGTATTTGGCTAATGCCAAGTACATTTGTATTGGTTTTGGCATTTCAGACCCACCGAAAATGTTACTGTGCATCTAGATACTGAAATACAAAGTTTTATATTGGTGTGTTTGGTATCTTGAGTTGAAAATATTGTTGTAAAACTCTAAAAGCAGCAACCAGAGAGCTAAATATAGAAGCCCACTGCAGTGAATGTCCGTGTGCAGCATGCCAGCCATATGGGCTGCTCATAAAATAAAAGGAGGCTGTACAAGCCTCACTGAAGCTATAAGCAAGGAGGAAGTCCTAGGAGAGTAGTATGTGCGTGATATATGTAGGTCTTTTGGGAGAACCTGAATATATCCATTTCTTCTGTTTGTGTTGAGGATAACACAATATGTATACATGTGTTTATTCTGCATGGAGCATCCTAAATGTTATGGTTTTTGTAATTTTATATCCTGTGGGTGTTTTAGAGGTTCCTGTCAAGGTATGGGAGCCTGTGACAGTGTGTAGACATACCAAAAAAAAAACCAAAACAACCCCAAAACACAAAAAACCAAAAAACCCCTCTTCTTCCACTTCAGAGATACATGCTGAAATTATAACTCTTCTCAGACTATTGACAAAAGGCAACTGACCTGATTAGAAACAGGATGTCTTCAAGGAATTTCTGCTGACTAGGGAAATAAGAGTTCAGTGCTGTTTATGTCAGTGCTCTGTGAAAAGCCCTCTCAGAAGCAATGCTGGCTTTAATTGTTTTGTTTTTACTTTTGTTTCTGAATTCTAGTGCCAAACACAACGGAACCTGACTACAAATCCAAAGACTGGGTTTTCCTCAATTATACCTACAAGAGGTTTGAAGGGCTCACGCAGCGCGGCTCGATCCCTTCCTACATGAAATCCGGGAAGTTGTGAAACAAAACACAAACCCACAAAAGAAATAAAAATACAAACCTCAGGTAGCTGCATCACCAGACCCGCTTGGCATTAGTTATCAATACATTGACTCTGGTGCGCATCAGTTTCACAAGGAAATTCTACAGGATTAGGATTTCTGAGACTACTACAGGAATTAGTTGGCAGTGCCAGCTGGCGCTTTTTTTTTTTTTTAATATTTGAATATTTTTGTTAACTTTATTATACGAAGGTACTGGAATAAAAGGAACATACATCCCTTTGTAACTGCACTGCCTATATATGTATAATGGTTAATTATGCCTCTCTGTACTGTGGCTGTGTTTGTACTGTAAACCATCTAATCCACCCAGAAGTAACACATATCACTTTATGCAGCACTGTTATTATACTGCTTACCTGGTGGGTTTTAGATATGCAGTATAAAAAAAACATTGCCCACATTCACAAAATTCTCTGAGCAGTTGCTCGAGGCTGTTCCAGTTCTGGTCTGCAGATACCCCATGAGTGTGACAGCTCTGAATTATTTTCAATAGCAGTGTCCTGGGGTCTGCTTGTTCCCTGCCTGCCCTCGCCCCTCCCCACTGGAGGGCTTTATCAGCTGATCGTCCCTTCTTCTTTCTTCCTTTTTCCACTGTGCATGGCAGTGAAAGAGTCCCTGTGATCTGTTTAGTGGTATTTCTGCTTTAAATGATAGTTGAGGAGTGTTGCTGTTTAAGAGAATGATGCCCGTTGGCAACTTCAGAAGAAAAAAGGAATCTGAAAAAAATTATAAAGATTTTTAACAGAAGGGAAACTTTCTGATACCAAGTTCTGAAGAGAGGGCGGTTTGTAGGACTGCATTCAAAAACTGCCTCTGCTCATCTTTTTGCTACTCATAATTCAAATAGTCTATTCTGTCTGTGCAAAACATTCTAGAAGAGTGATCAAATTGCTGCTTTTTCTTTTTTGTCTCCCTAAGTTCCAGGCAGAAGGGAATCTTGCTGTAGCCTTTTCTTTCCAGAATACCCTGTAGCAACCTCTGCCAAGCCAGAGGAAATGAAGAACCCCACTAGACTCAGACTCTCCTGTTAGCTTCATCATTTTCTAGTATCTCCATCTAATGCAGACCATGGGATTACAAAGGTTCAGCTGAACCTGCAGCCCAGTCTCCAGGAACCACAACCACCCACAACTGAATTTGGGCACAGCATCTAAATGCTATTCTCCCCGGTCTGCAGGGTGGTGACAAACTGACAGCGGAGATGGGTCTCCTTCTCCTAGGTCAAGGAAACTGAAGCAGAAGTCCCTCCATATGCAGGGTATGGTTTTGCCTCAGCCCAGCAGTAGCTCAGGACTGAATTGCACTCCTCTAACAGTTGGCAATTAGCTGGTTGCTGGCAAATTTACCTTTATCTCTGCCTGTACTAGCACATTATCTGCAGTACTTTTAATCTATCACAATACAGTAGAGATCTTTGATGTCATTTTCTGGTTACAAAAGAGATGTACAGCAATGAAAAATCCCCCAGTAACTGCACAAGCAGCATCACTGTTGCTGTCTTCCTCCTCTGAACAGAAGTGGAAAACACTCTAAAGCCTTCGCAACGCCCATCAGAGTGAAGCACAGGATGTTTTGGCTTACAGTAGGAAAGACTCCAGTAGACTGGGTTTTGCAGCAAAATGGAAGTGACTATTTATAAAGCCATTGCAGAAATATTTATTGCTGTTAGGCACCATCGTGTCAGCTGTTCTTAATTATTTGTATGCTTTAAAAGCACAGAAGGGTGTTCATCTGCTGCATAAAAGACCATGTACCAGCAAGATTTCCCTGCATCAATGGCTTACTGATGTGTATGTCATCCTCCCCAATCCAACAGCTACTAGGTTCTTCAAGGGCTTCAGTGATGTCTTTCCTCTGATATTTTGTCTCCCTTCAAGCATTTAATATCTGTTATTTACACTGCATTTCCACAAAAAAGTTGAGTTTTTAGCTCATCTCAGAGGAGTAGCTAGTGCCTCAGGACCCATCCAATTTATACAGTGTTACATCAGAACATGGCTCAGCTAAACTTCTGCCTAAATCTGGATTTATGTGGGAACAGCTCATTGGTCTCCCAGTTTTTCTTCCCAGACCTTAGATTAATTAACTCACCCCTGTATTGCCATTGGGGCAAGATCCCTTAGAAATTCTCCAGAGTTGTTCTTAGCCTTATCAATGTAGTGAAGCCCAACCTGTATCCATCCAAAGACTGTCCAAAAACAGTTATACTCGCTTAAATCCACGTTTACACTTTCAGACTTCATTCTGCCAGTGCCCTAGCAGCTTTTGAGTCTTCTCAGGAAAGGAAATTCCTTTTCTAAGGCATTCAGTCCTTTCTACCAAAACAGCAGAGCTTGGGCAAAAAGTACCCGAGATGCAAACTTGGCCTCAAAGGACACTGCTATTCAAAAGAGAATTTTTATTTGTTTTAATTTCCAGTCTCATTCATGGGGGCACTATGTGCACCAGAAGTGGAATTCCTGTGAACAACACATTTCAAAAGACCACAGTTACCCTGTTTGTGTAATATAAAAAGGAGTCTTTGCTTGAACTTGCTAAGACAAGATAAGTTTCATGGAAACTGCAAATGCTCAGTAATACTGGTGATTTTTTTTTTTCCTGAGAGATTTGGGGAGGGGAGATAAATACACACTTAATTTAAAGCTATCTATTAAACAACGATGTCTGTACATACTCACTGGTTTACAAACTTGGGAAAAAGCTCAACCCTTACATTTGTAACACTAAAGATAATACTTTAAAATTGCGGATGATTAATCATATCAGTGCTCACATAGGAATTATATCCATAGGGAAACAGCCTGCAGCCTATTTAGCAAAACTCCTGTATTGTGGTAGTTGAATTTTTTTTCCTTTTTAAACATAGCATTATTTTAATCAGTAAGTCAAGTTAAACAAAATATTAACTACTGCTTTTAGGATGATAGAATTTTTTTTAAAGGTGAAACTGTGACACTGTAATGGGTTAAAGAGAACAGAAGGTTAATCTACACTGGCTTTCAAAAAATGGAAGTGCGACATATCTTTTTGTTTTGTTATTTCTGTCTTATTCCTTTGGATGGTTGTGTTCTTCCCTTTGACAATGTTTGTTACTGTGCCATTTATTTTTCTTATTCTTGGAGTACCAAAGATCCTGAAATGGCTTGATGATTGCAACCATGTGAAAAATTATTTTCTGGAAGTATGTTTTGTTAACTTTTTTTGTGGAAAATGTGGAATTGTGTATGCAAACTGTTATCAGAGATTTGCTGGGAAGTTAACCTGTCCCAGCAGGGAGAACGTGAGTGCGTCGATGGATGTGGTGAGCCTGAATCTGAATTCTGGATCTGAATACCCGGAAACTTGGGGAGGAAGCTTGGATTGGGAAGTGCAGCTGAGCTTTTGCACTTTGTTCCATCACCAGTCAGCGTGAGTGAGTGGCCTTAGGTACAGGACATTAGCAGAGGTTGTTTCATGTGCAAAAGGAGTTAAAAAAAAAATTGCCAGCATTCAGAAATCAAATATTTGTTGATGCTGCATTTGCACTGTTAAATTTGCCTTGCTGGAGAGTTATATAAGTGTTATTTTTATAGGTCAATTGTTAAAACACCTGAGCCGTTGGATACAGTATGGAGTAAGAGCATCTGACATGGGTGAATTCATCCAAGTGCAAAGGGACTTGCTGGAAGCTCTCCACACGATGAAGAAAAATGGGCATAAGCAGTACAAAGGGTGTTAGGTCAGCTCCTGAAGAGGTGACTTTCCTCCTCTGCAACAGCAAGTAGGGAATACTGCAGTTTAGCCCAGTTACACTCTAATGCTTAGGAAGTGCTCTCACTTTTTCAATAATACGAGCAATTACAAGCATTGTAACATACTGTACCTTGTCCTTTTAATGTCGATATATTACAGCAGCTCATTCTTGAGAGTCGAAATGGCAACTGCTATATTTTTCCTAGACTGTTTTCATTAGTTGTGGTTGGGAAAGTTACATAGAAGCATTATAAAAATTTATATGAGGCTTTTTACAGCATTTGAAAATAAAAGTAGCATTCTTTTTGTAAAGTTGCTGGTTTTGGGGGGTTTGTTTTTTTGTTGGTGGTGGTTTTGGGGGGGCTTTTTGTTTGTTTTTTGTTTTTGTTTTTTACCCCAGTGTCCTGGATTTGTTTCTCTTCTGGCATGGGAGATATCTAAGGAATTGAGACACTGTTTTGCATATTCTCATCTTGAATTCAACAGACGGTGAAAACCCCAGTGTCACTACTCTCAATCAGAAAATAGAGATTGTAAAAATTGCTCAACTTGTACCAACTGCAGTCACGTGAAGCTGCTTCTAAAACAGTTATTTCCCTTCATAAGAGACTTCTTATCTTCTTCCCTGGATACCATAATTTATTCAAGAAAGGCTTCCACGGGCAGTTGTCTCCTTTGATTCACTACAGAAACAATCTTGTCCTGCTGTTCCCTGTTCCTTGCTGAGTTTAGCACAGTGGCAGCAGATGCAGTTGTGAAATGGTCATGTAAAAAACAAATTGTTACAGAATTGAGCAGCTGAAAGCAAAGAGGAGCTAGCAGCTGGTGACTGGCCTTCTCTGGAGGCCCTCCAGTGAATAACAGCTCTCCACTTGAGAATTGCTGCTCTCAGTAAGTGATACTATTTTAACAGAGTTTTAGAAATTCTATTTAATGGGATTACACTTCTCTTCCAGTAACCAGATATTACACCTCAGAGCTATGTATCATAAGGAAATGGAGGTTCACTTCTCTATCTCCTTGCATTATGAAATTCAGAATTCTTCAAAAAGACAGCATTTTAATGGCAAATATAAAGGCAGTGCCTTCAGCATGTGCAGAAATGTTTGTTGGGTTTTTTTTTAAATCAACAACTTTTACATAGTTTAGTTTTTATAAAACATACTGCAAATACCTGTTGTGCATTTTTCATTTCTTTATTCCTGTACAAAGTGTGCCTTGTACA